TGTGTGTGCGCGTGCGATTTATTATTATTATCACCCGAGAGCAGTTGAGCCGTGTATATACCTTCGCAGCCACAATGAGCGCGCGCTCAAAGTTAAAGAGCGGAATGCAGAGTCTTCCTCCTCCTCCTCTCACCTTTTGCGAAAGCATGAAAAGTTAACTTGAGAGAGCTGCAGTTGTTGGATTTAATGGCGGCCCACTGACTTGTTTTGCTGCGCGAATCTTTTTAATTATCATGACCCCGGCCGGCATGATATACGTCGACCGCAATATTATTGCCGCTCTTCTTCTCATGTTAATATCGTGTGTGTGTTTGTATATTTCGTAATGAAATGCCGGCGTCGACCGCAGAGTCATATATCTCGGCGGTGTGGCTGAGCGCAGAGGGCAGTAAACCAAACAACGGGAGTATAAACTCCAACGGCAAACACGCGGAGGGCTCGAGCCTTGGGAAATTTAAAAATTCATTCGTCTCTCGTCGCAGGACAGAAATTGAATTATTTTGCGTCAGAGCCCAAGATCAACGCTGCAGTGTCGTTTGCGGGCGAAAAATGTCTCTTTAATCACTGCCACTTTACTGACTGCAGCTGCGAGCTGCAGCGGAAAAGTGCCCTTCGCTCCCGAGGGGTTCACTTTGTGCCACAGCTATACACAGCAAATTCAATTTGCTGCACTTTTGAGAGTTTGGTATTTGTTGGGTGGAGTTTTAAAGGATAAATATAATAGAATCTTTAGACTTCAAAAAGAATTTTGTTTTTCAATTTTTGAAACATTTAGCTTGTTATTTACTATCTATATAAACCTCTCTATAGAAACCTTAAACATTGATTTAAGTGGGCTTAAAATATTTGCATAAAATAATCAATATTAAAAATGCAGAGAAATAATATTAATAGTTGATGGAGAAAATGATCTCGATATTTATTCATCTTTGCATATTCTTTTTTATATGAAGTTTTAAAATATTGAACTATTTTTAGCTGATCACCTAATACAGATATTATTATACATTAATTTGGACTTTGGTACACACATTAATTTCCATAAAACTTCATTGTTTGGCAAAGCGATTCAAGGAATATATTTAATTAGTGTGTGCGCATTACAAAATTATTGAAGGGTACGATTTAAACATGACATGGCTCCGAAATATTTACTTACCATTTCAAAGAAAAATAGTAATCGTCCAATTTACCTCATTCGTGTTCGTCCCACTTTGAACTGAAGTTGTTTGCTCACAGCTGAAAACCGCGTGGTGACACACGCTCTCCTCACCAATTTACATTAAGTTAAAATCAATGGGAGAGTTTTTGATCGTCTAGCCAAAGCTCTTGAACAAACCTTTCAAGTGACAAACAAACTGCTAAAGCTAAAATTAATTAACAGATTCGAGCAGCATGGGTATCACGAGAGTCGCCGCAATTCATGTAAACAGCACATCAAAGCAGAGCCCACTCGGCATAACAAATAACATTACGCGGTGCTTTTGTGAAATGATAATAAAAATAATGGTTAAAAAACGAGAGAGCGGACGGATGAAATAAAAAAAAGAGACAAGCAGCCACTTTGAAAAAAGAGCCGCACGCATTGTCAAAGCACGGTTTTGAATTAAACAGAGTGGCCGACGCGGGATTAGGATAATGAGCGGCATTCCTTTGTTCGCCTCCCTCGCGGGGGTGGACGGGACAGTCGCATAGCTTCGGACGGAAAAAGCCAAAATCAGGGGTCAGACGGAGGTTTGGGGAACGTGGAAGGGGCGGTGCCGTGTCGATCGGATCCACAAGTGGTGAATCTTTCATCCGAGACAATACCCGGTTGATAAAAGCAAGAAACTCCATCATCGTCTATGCTTGTTCTAATGCATGTAAAGCCGGGCGAAATTCGCTTGTGTGGTGCAAATTGAGCCGGGCTGTTTTGCCCGAGTACAACTTTAATGGGCCAGCCGAATTGCAGCGCGGATTTTAATAAAACGTCCCTGTGACGCTGCTCTTTCTCTCTCTCTTTCTTGCGCCCGGCGCTTTTTATTGTTATTGTATGAAGAGCGAACTGCTGCTCTTTATTGCGAGAACGGCGAAATGTGCCCGCTTCTCTCCTCCTCTACTTTCTCGCCCGAATTCCTTCTTCCGTGAACTAAATTTCAAATTATAATTTTAATAGAATTTTTCTTTCCCCCTCGCACACTCACTTCTTCTGCGTGACGGCTGCGGATGCTCGCCGCCTCTTTGTTCTCTCGTATCGCGAAAATGATTCATTTTTCCGCCTTTTCGCACACAGCACATGTCAATTAAATTTATTCTCCTCCTCGACCCAACTTTTCTTTTTTTGTGCTCCGCAATTTATTCTCCATTGTTTGAAAGAAAAAGACTTTTTTCCTTCACCAAACTTGAAGAAGAAACGAGTCCGACAAAAAAAAAATCAATACAAGGAGGGCGCAGATTCAATTACTCAACTTTTCATACATAATAAGCACAATAAGTGCATAATTTCATGCCTCCTCCGCTATAAAATACTCTAGAGCATATTATAATAAAAACCAACATCAGCCTGTATGGAAAAGTTGCCGCTCGGTGGCGGAGAGCAGAGGCGTCTTTGTGAGCGCGCAGGCGAAGTTTCCGAGCGATAACTCCGTATTAAAACGCGCCGAGTATACGCTAATAAAGATGAGCAAAGGTGCATCTCAGGCGAATATAATGTGCCGGGGCGACAGAATGTATGGAGAGAGTGCACGCACAGATTCGCCGTAATATATAAAAGGGATAAGGAGATTACGTGTAACTCTCACACCAGCAGCGTGCGAGAGCCGGTGGTATTTTACTGGCAGGCATGATGGTGTCGCTAAGTGGCCGTAAATAAATATGGACCCGTGCGAAGAATACACAAGCAGCACCATGAATAAGGAGCATCCGCCGCATGAGTTAATACGGCAAAAGTTGGCACCTTCTGCATTTTCCGCTTAATTATTAACTTATTCGATTATAAAGTTGCAGCCGAGCGGCGCGCGCCCGTCATTAATTTCCACGTGCAAAAATTCCTCCGAGGCGCTGCATTGATTAGATTTTAAACTTTTAACCGCTCGTCAGGTTGTGTTTGATTATTTTTCGCTCGCAGTGGCCTCTGGTGATTTCACGAATAAAGAAAATACTTGCTCAAGCCGGGGAGTTGAATTGTTGTTTCCGCGTGTATAATTTTCAACTTGTGTTCGCCTGTTTACTTTTAAAGTAAGAAGTTTCTTGCCTGCGGCCTCTACGTCATATCAACTAGAATGGAATAATTAAACATTATACCTACGTTGCGTGCAATCTTAGGCTTTTAATATAATCAGCATTCATAGTACATCATACAATTAACTAAAGTAAGTACTGCGGGATTAGTTTATGAGGAGCTGGGAAAAATTAAAGATGTTGTTAAAAACTCGTTTTATTATCTCCTAAGAGTTCTGGGCGGAAACTTCTAGAATATTCAAGTTTTTAAAAGCTGCAAATTTAATGCTAATCATTGTTGTAAAAATTTAACTACTATATTTTATTTATTTACAAAGACAATAATTATGTGAATCCATTAAAATCAAGTGCAAAAAAATTTTATAATAAAAATATTTAAAATGCTGACAAAACCTTTTTGCCTTGATGAATTTTTACTTATTTATTTTTATTTTACGATTTCTACAATTTTAATATAAATCACAAAAGTAAAATTGTTAAAAAGTTTTGAAGTTTCCTATTTTCGTGGTTTATTTTGTAGATTTTTTCCTCCACAACGCTATGGAATTAAAGAACTGATTTAAACTTGGGCTCAAACTTGATTGGTTAATCGAAAATCTGTGCGAGAATTGCCGCTCGTTACGAAGCACGAACTGCAACAAAGAGGCGAGAACTAGTGCCGGCTCACAAGTAAATAATTATCGAAACAAAGAGATTCGAACCGTCGTTTGTGTCGGGTCGCTGCTCGGTCGCAAATTGGGGTGCCGAATCGATTGCATTAGGGCGAATTGCCGTAGTGTGTGTGTTTGCGAGCGAGTCAATATATATAAGAACGACAGCCGAGCTAGTGCGTTTTGTGCCGCATCATTCCGAAAGAAATCCATCCTTTCAATTCAACGTGGAGGAAATAAAGAAGGAAGGAAACCCTTTCGCCGTGGCGAAAACAATATTCTTTTTCCGGCAAAGTAAGTGGGTGCATCTAAAATTCAGTCGATATGAGGGCGCGCGCGCGGCGAGGCTAAATAATTCACACGGCAGCTCTCTCGCTTTGTTTATTATTTCTGGCCGTATTTATTTCGATACGCAAACAACGGCAGCGCGCGCGTTTTATTGAGCTGTTCTCTCTGAGAACGCGTGAGTGTGTACGGCGGGCAAACATACCCACACTGGCGAAAACACACGTGAGCAGAGCTGGTACATGCAAGGCCGGCGCGCACAATGAAAGGTGCCGAGAGTGATTACATAAAGTTGAAGTGTTGGGATGATAATATTTTGAAAATGAAACAACAAAAGCGTCCGTCCGGCGGGCGGCGGCCGAGCGGCCAGCCGCAGCAGTAAGCCATGCGGTGGTCGCATCAATCACTGCCCCTTTCGCAGCCATTGTGTGCGCCGCGTATCATTGTGCTCGCAGCGGAGAATTGAACCAGCAGCAGCAGCAGCCGCGATAACAATACTACTCGGCACTGGCTCACTCTCAACACACGAGGGGATCGATATGAAAACACACGCTGAAATCTATTTGCCGCCTGCGAGGCGGGCAGGCCCGCTTCACCGCTAAACCAGACGTGCTGCATACCTAACCCCGTCCAAAGAAGAGCATCGTGGATTGTTTTTAAAACGGATCGATCTCGGCCGACGTCAGGCGGGCTTTTTGCTGTTTGCGCCCCTCGAGATTGAGGCAATGATCCGAGCAGCACTCTCGGCGGCCGCCCGATTTTGGCTTTGATCCCGGGATTAAAGGGGGAAAACATTTTTTTTTTGGGCACAAAACGTTGGGCAAAAGAAACCGTGCGTTAACTTACCTTATTGTGCGAGATGGAGGAGGCCACAGGAGGCAGCTGGCATCTCCGCCGACTGAAACAAAATAACGCAATTTTGAGATTTAATCACACTCTCGGCAGTTTCTCTCTCTCTGTGCACACGCAGCTACTTTTTCGCCGGATTAGAACCAACTTGTTTAAAGTTGGTTTGCTTTAAAAGCAGACAAAATGGGAGAAGGAGGAGATTCGTTCTCCTTTCTCTGTCCCACATTTTCCACAACTGTGGCAAAAGGAAATTTGCAGAAAACGCATCAAAACTTTTCCTTTTTGTTCACTGCCCTATCTTCATGTTGAGGAAAGTGGGGCTAGGATTTGTATTTAAAATTAGAAACCTAGTTCAATTGGCTGAAAATAATATTTTTTAACAGTTACAATGTCAGAGGGATTTAAAAAAAACAAGGTTAATTTGATACATGCAGATAAATGAATAGAAATAATTTAATTAAGTGTAATAAATATGAGTAACTCAATTTTTGAAACAGTTGGTTCTAAATATATAATTATACTTAAAAGATCAAATTAATGTTTCAAATTGTTTCATCTTCCACATGATTTTCATTCATAATAGCAGAATTTAATAACTTGTATTGCAAACAAAGTAAATTTCATACAAGAGTCTTACGAGATCCTTTAATTTTTGACAATTTGAATTCATCATAAATTTGTACATTTTATTTTTTAGGATGTTATCAAATGCTATTAAATTCAATGTAAAATATCAAGCAAAAATAAAATAATAATTAAATAAATATAATACCATATAAAATGTTATGAATAATATAAATAAATAAAAATAAAGATTTAGATTTTATTCATTACTACCTATTAAATTTGTTTAAACCTATGGCGTTTTAAAAAAAAATAAGTAAAAGACCTTTACTGTACTAGATTAAAAGTGTGTAATGAGGTAAATTGAACTAATATAAACTTCTTGTTCATCCCTCCAAGTTTTGAGCAAACAAGTGCCTGCGCAATTTTGAATTCTTCACATGACATTTATGAAAAGAACTCGCAGTTAGTAAAGCATGAGAGTGCATGTATGCATATCACTTGAGCAGGTTGCATCGTACATTACAAATAAATTCCTGAGAGAGCCAAAGACACATCAAAAGCGTCGTTTGTCTCATTTCCAAAGTCCAGGCCGACTTTTAATCTCCTGACCCATGGCGACAACCCTTTGACACACTTGGACCGGCCATCTCGGAGACAGGCAATGCACTTTGGGTGCATCATCATTAAATTGCAGCAGCCACCGAGTGATTCGACTGTGAGAGAAATAGAGCAAAAAGGCGGCGGCGGCGGCCACTGGCTCAGAGCTTTTTTCTATTATCCGGCTTTAATACTGCCTGTGCCAAGCGAGCTGCTTTTTAATCGAACAAAGTGAAGAGTTTTTTTAATACGTCAATGGAGTCAGTCGGCGGACCAGAGCGACCAGCAGGCAGCAGCCGTTCCGGAGCAAAAGCTGCTGATGGCCCCTATGGCGAACATTTTGCAAGCAGCTCCTTTGCTCGCTCTCGCACACATACACATATAACACACGTTCGTCAGTGTCAAACATTTTCAACTTTTGTCGGCGCCGCTGCTGAAAACTGGAGCCGTTCAGCTTGAATGCAAACAAAGCCAGTCGCTCTTTAAACGCGCCTAAGGCCTCATTACTGTAATGCATGCTAAGTGAGGCGATTACTTTTTGCTCCGCACTCACACGCTTTTGTGACCAAAACCTACGTGCCTGATTGGTTTCTGTTTAAAGGACAATAAATCCTGCCTAATTCGCGTCGTGTCTGACAATGAATCAAAAGCTCTGTAAAATTCCTTTTAAAACGGTAGGTTTGTAAAAAGGAAAATTTTGCTTCTCTTTTAAATAGGATAAAAAGAAGTTGGAATTGTGTCTCTTAAGTTGATTGCTCTGTTAGAAAATTTGTCTCAAACTTTTTAAATTTGAAAAGAAATTCCGATATTATTAGTTTTTTACTACCATTATTTCTTTTAAAAAAGATTTTAACTCCAAAGTTAGAATTTTGAAGTAAAGCATGGTATAAAGGCTTTTATGGAAGCTTTTAAAACATTTAAATCTAGCAACGGAAAAGCTTTTTCTCGTACCGTTAATAAGCAGAGATCCAACCTCGCAAGAATTAGAGTGTGCTGCTCTTACACACAAATAAGCTGCTGCCTTGAAAACAGACGCAGATTTGCCTCCATTAGGGCCAATTTGCGAGTTCCGCGCGTCTCCCTCGCTCTCTCTGGTGAAATTCTTGAATTGGAATTCCGTCGAACTTCAGGTGTTGACATGAGGGTCGTCGTTTTCAGTTCAAGACTCAGCGTTGCGTGGTGACTAATTGACTTCCTTCCTTGCCAGTTGGGCGAGTGTGCAGAAAATTAATTCTCGTGCGAATTCCGGCACGCCGATTTAAACACAGCCATTACCGAATCGCACGCCGGATTTGCGCCGAATTCGAGCGCGAGACGAAACCAGATTTGGCAAAATTAGTGTAAAGTGGTGCTTTTGCTCTCGTCGTCATTCTGCTCCAAGACAAGAATTTTAATTAAGTTTGTTTGCATTGTTTTTTTGTGTCTCAACGGGCTGGCATATCACGGGTGCGCTAGCGAAAGTAAATATTTGTGCCTCTCGATATTAACGCGAACGAGCGAGAGCAAGTTGCAGAGAGAGCGCAAGCAGCTTGATAAATAAACAGCGCGTGGCCTAATTATAGTTTGGCGAAAGGGAGAACGTTTGGAGCCAAGTGAGAGAGGGCGGCGAATTATTTGATTGCGCGCCGCCGGATTTTGAATATGCGCGAGAGCACTCGTGTTTAATGTGCAAAAATGTGTTTGCTAAACTGTTATTTCCCTTCCTTGGCGTGCATGGGAACGAGCAACAATGTTGTTACTTTTGGCAAGAGCGAGCAACAGGAAAACGAAATGCGGCGGATTTAATTAGCAAAAAGCTGGAAAGCCTATAAAACGTTTGAATGACCCGATCAAAAATCCGATCAAATATGGAAACTAAGAATATAATTATATCGATTTTACTTTTTCATTTGCCATACAGATTGAAAAAAATTTGTAAATTTATCATCCTTAAATTCAATATAAAAATAAAAAAGGCTTTTTTTATAAGTTTTATTATATTCTACAATAATTTTTAAGAAAGGAAATTTAAAGAATGTGAGCAACTTTAACTTGCAGGTGTGGTAATTATACAAGAGAACTAATACACAACATGATAAATTAGCATGGACGAGGATTATAGTGAACATGAATTATTAAATTTATAATTATTTATTCTACATTTATTTCTTTAAATATTTATTATTTATATTTTAACATAATTATATGTTACGCAATTAATCATTTTTGTAATATCTTCCTTGATAGAAAAAACGACAAAAATAAAAATTATATGAATTTAATTATTAGATCATTTATAAAATTTTTATCATAAAAATTATATAAAATAAGAAAATATTTTTGTTTATTAACTTGAATTTTTTTAATAAATAATATAGGACTTCTAATTAAGATGGATTTTTGCAATATTTAATAATATAATTTTTGTTTTAATTAAGTAAAAAAATATTAAACGCAAAATTTTAATTTTGCAAGATTCATCACGTTTGTGAACCAATCTTAATTTGAAACTTCTAAGGAAGGGATGGCTTTAATCCGAACCAGCCAGATGTTCCTTTTGAGGTCATGCCAAAGGCTCTGTCAATCCACCTTAATTAAACTTTGCCACGAGAAGTGTAATTTTACTTGGTGTGTGTGTGTCGTTAAAATGAGCTATTTTCGCGCATGAAAAGGGGACGTGGGTTGAGGCCCCGTCGGCAAAAACACACATACGAGACTCTCCGTCTGCTAGACAATTACTCTTCTATGTTTGGCTCAGTCAGCCGGTGCAAGGAAAAAAGAAGGCGAGACGACGAGCGCTTCTTCATTTTGCAAACATACATTCGGCCATATTTCAGCGAAAGGAAAGCAATCACGTTGAGTGGCTCGGCCCGCCGCGAATCTCTCAAGCAAACGTCACGTGTGCACATACGCAAACGCGCGACACGGTTTGTGTGTTAGTGTGGGATTATCCAATTTAATTTGGCGCAGCCAGCTGAAAGTGTTTCGCAGACGTGCAGTCAGACAACCCACACCGGCAAAAAATAAAATAAAAACTTGGGCTGGAAGAGAGTTGCGAAAAAGTGCGCAAAAGATCGAAAATAGCTTTCGGCAAATACCAAGAGCGGTAAACAAAGAGGCCCCTTTTATTTATCGCCGATCATCGGATCTTGAGGAATGCGAGGCCCCGATTGGCGATCGCGTTTATTGAAACCGAAATAGAGCACACCGGGCTAAATGAGGACGCACGCAGGGCTAATAGAGGAAAAAATTGTCCCCGGCAGCATCAGCAGGAAATGTTTCACGCGCCCGAAATATTCCGAGGGGATGAGCAACTCACCCTATGGTTTTAACGCTGCGGTCCGCACGGCTCCGAGGCGGGTCTAATACTGGCTCTTCAAGAGATCACTCGCGAGTGCGTTAGGGGAGTCGAGGGGACTTTAATTGGGACCGACAGCGCCCCACGGTGGCGGTAGAGGTGCCCGTGGGTTTCGCGAACACATGATCGCGGCATTGAACTGTGCTATTTTTGTCCACGGATGAGACGATTTGCTTTTTCTGACCACGTGTGGCCGCATTTGGCAATTTCATTCATCATTTTACCGGAAATAAAGATTTCACTTAAATATTTCATGATGTATTTTGAAAAAATAAATATTTAAGGATTTCAATGTTTAAATAATGATACCAGTCACATAAGACTATTTATATTTTGCAAAATTTAAAATATTTATAAATTATAAGATAATTACAATAAATTAAGGGGACAATTAAAGGAAGTAAAAAATGTGAAGGTTGATTAAAAACTAATTTTTAAGTTTTTAGTTCTTTATAGTTAAGTTGATTTTTTAATATAATTAAAAAAAAATTAATCGGTCAATTTGGGGCAAATTTTTTATTATTAAAATTAAATAATTATTATTTTCTCATTTCGATTATTAAAAAATTTGCTTAAAATTAAACAATTTTCAATTTTCAATCCCGGACTGCCCTGGACACACGCTGAATTTTGTCTGTCTAGACACAAAGTTTGAATGAGTCGATTCTGAGTCATTCGAATTTAGTGAGGAAACGGGGCAACCCTCGTCGTGCGACTAAATCTTGAGGCAGGAAATTCCGTCAGCTGAGGTGGATTTTCAAGGCTAATAACCCGCCGTCGTCCCGTTCGCTAGCACACATCGAGCGTTGCCAGCACCATGTCGCAGAGTGAGAAAGAGTTTGAAAATAACCCAGACGGAGATATTTCAAGTGAGCCTGGTGCAGCCCATCACGCAGGAATGCCGCGAGTCTAAATCATGATGTCGTCTGGTAATCGCGCTGACGGATGGTCTGTAAAACACGCGGCGGCGAAATTTATGGCGAAGTGAGCACCCCAACCGACCGGCTTGAGGATTATTTCATCTGGTGCCGCATTGATTATTTATCGATTTGTCCTCGGTCGCACACACGTCTCCGCCCCTTGTCGTGTTTTCGTTTGGCCCAAGAACGTGTCTCGCGCGCCGGGCGCCACTTTGTCAAATGCGAACAAAATGGAATTTTGGCGTGTTCTCCTATTCACGGCGGCGTGATTTTCCTGTTTCTGCAACATGCATGTCACGCTCGCGTATCCGAGAAAAACATATTTCATATATTTATTTTCACCGTGAGATATTGAATGGCTTCAACGGAATTTGTTAGGCTTTGTACTTGTCAATATCAATTTTTATTGTTATTTAAATATTAGAATGAGAAAGATTCTATTCATGTAAATCTGCAGGGATGTTTCATTGATTTTTTTCCTATTTCTATTTATATTGAGCTGATATTGAGGTAATTTTAAAGTTCAAACATTTTAAATTGGAAAAATTGTTAGTACAGAATTTCTATTCAGAGATTTATATTTTTAGTTAGGAAATTTAACTATTTGCCTGTTGAAAAAAAATAAATTTTAAATTTTAAGGAAACCTTAGAAGACCTCTTCTTTGAATGTTTGTAGAAACCTGCTGGAACGCACCAGCAACATTACTCGCAACGTGATCAAGGGTGGTGAAAGCGTGTGTGCTTTTGATAATTAATGGCTAAAGGCGGCTTTAGCGGATGCAGATGGGTAGGTGTACACACAGGCTGACCCGAGTTAAGAGTATTTACTCACTCACTCTGCATGTGCGCGCAAAGTTACCATCCTAGAGGCTTGATTAGATCATCCCTCAACCAACCGCGAAATGACTATGTCCATAACTAAACGCTGCTCTACTTTTCTGCTTTCATGTTGGCCGCATCTTTAAAAGCAGAATAATAGAAAAAAACGCATTTTAATAGAAACACCAAAAAAGTCACAAGAGTTTTTCCGCCTCCTTATATCCCATACAGTTGTGTATGAGAAATAAAATCCGCTGCGAAAAGAGCGTGTTCTATTTCCCCGTCTATATTTTTTTTCACGCGCGGCCTTTTCTTTATTGCAGTTATATGTTCCAATAAACTCGACTTTTTAAAACATTTTCCAGCAACGCAGCCAACGCCAAGCCGAACGACGCTGAGTGAGCCGCTGCTTCCATTCCTCGGCCTTGCTCTCTATTGCAATGCATTATTATTATATTTTTTTTCTTATATACGCGCGCCCATAAAGACCAGTTGACTTTTCCAGCCGCCCTATGCCTTCTCCTCTCTTTCCCGCGTGATTTATCGCCGGTTTCATTGTGCAGGCACCGGGCAATTTTGACATTCTGCCGGCCAGCCCTTTACATTTACAATGAATTCCTTGATAACTCAATCCTGCAGCTCACTTTGCCAGGCACTTTATATTTAGCCGTCGTCAATTATGCACGCTCCATGGTGCTCGCTGAAAAGAGCGGTAGAGAAAGAGACGACGACTGGCGCTCATCGTCGTCGAGACCGGTGGATAGAAGCAAAGGCCACTATGTGTACCGCCGTTCGAGAGGTGCTTTGCCCACAGGAAAATAGCCTTGCCAACCCTTGCTCTACATAGATGGCGCATCTTTCACTTGATGGTCTTGGTATTTTATTTGATTCTTTGTGCAAACAAAATTTATTTTGTACTGAGGAAACGTAACAATTTTTAGGATTTAAAACTTCAAGCTATTAATAATAATATTTTACTAGAGGCGCCACCGACTTTGACGCCACGGAGCGCCGGCCCCTTCGATCAGATGACCCTCTGGGCCCAAAAAACTAGCCTGCCACAGTCTGTAGCGAGATTGCAAAGGATTACTTTTTCCTACAGGATCGTCGGGCCCTGCAATAACCTTCTGGATGCGCTGAAAATCAGCCCAGTTTCCCACCCTCTGCAAGGCCTACCTGTGGCAGCTACAATTTGAGATAAGTGGTAAGGACAAAAACTTTAGTGATAAGAAAAAAAAAACCATTCAACCGAGGTTTACTGCGGCGGATGGGGTCTTTTTGATCTCGGAAGTTATAGAAAAATTCTTGCTGGTAGTGATGCCGGTTTTTCCAATAATACCTCCTTTTTTTTAAATAAATTGTTTTCAACAATTGAATAATGTGAACAATTTATCATAACAATGTGGACAAATAAACAATAATAAGTAATGATAACAATAATTCACAATTTACGATCTCAAATACTTCAGTAAATCTAGCAATCAACAGCTACAAAAAATATGAAATATAAATAAATAATTACTTTTTTTTAAACTGTTGTCAACAATTTAACATAGCAATGTGGACAAATAATCAGCAATAATAAGAAAATATAAAATTTGTTGAAAAAAAAATACCAGAAATTTCTGCCTAACTTTCCTTTACAGTTTTCCATATTTTGATTTCCGAGTGAAGCTAAACTGCGTAGTTCACACCAGTTTTGCTCTCAGGCAGTCACTATATTGTTAGGCAAAAGGTTTAGTTCCACTGATAAAAAGGCGTGTATAATTTCATCACTTTGGCGTACAATTGTTGCTTTTATGTGAACCGGTGTAAATTAAAAAAAAAATTAATTATTTCCCGCCACGCGTTTCTTGAATGCATATTTTTATTTAATTGTTGGAAAAGTTCCGAGCTCTTAAATTTCAATGAGCTGCCGTGCACCGAGAGTGTTCCACTCTCGCCACTCTTGAGAAAGTTCTCTGCGAGCAAGAAGGGAACGAACGTGTCGTCTCTGCCTTTTCAACAATTCCGTCTGCCGCAGACGCCCATTTAATTATGTATACGAGACATATTTCCCCCAAAAAATTTCATCTTTATTAATAAATAATAAAAAACCTGTATTATTAGCTTCATAATATAGCAATTCGCTGGAGTTGATCGCATCATCCGTTTGCTATTTAGAGATAAAGCATTATGCCGGAATAACGAGCAAAACAGAGATATGTACTCATTTTTCCGTACATTAATCGCACAAACAAACTATCCTCATTAAAACGACACAATCAACAAGCACGAGGCTGATGATGGAGCGCTCGCGGCAATACAGAGAATTATCGATTGCGCAGAGCATTGAGAAAAATTGAAGCAGAGAGTGATTTTTGCATGCAGCATAAAAGCATCGGAGCGTGATGTCATTTGTACCTCCATAAGCACTAAAGCATTCAAAGTCATAATTTATTCAGGGCTCTCCATGCTCGTTCGCTGGCACCGTAAAAATTTAATTTCACTCCAACAAGCGGCAATAACAACACATGCAGGCGAAAGAGACCGCCCGAGTGTAGCACGAGCCAGCACGGCACCGATACACTGTGCAGGAACAATTTTCATTATTTTATAGATTAAACTCATTAAAGCAGGCAGGGCTGGCAAATTGAGTTGTGCTGGTGCACAACGAAAAAAGGTGAAAGCGGCGCCGCTTAAATTGCTTAGTGCGCTGTTACACGGATAGAGGGAGAGAGCGAGCGAGTTAACTGCGCTAACTACTTAATTTTACCTCAAGTTTATGTGCATCGCAAAATAAACGGAGAAAATTAACGCTGCCGGGGCGAAACCCTTGGTGGGCCAAGTGAGAGAAAACGGGGGAGAGTTTATATCGTTCTGTATCAGGCGCACTCGGAACACACTGGAATACATTAACGCGCGCGGTGCGCGAAGCGAGTTCCACCTCCGCTCTTCTTAATGGCATGTAAAAATATTCCCAACGAACTTTTGGTAGCTGCCTGGTGTTAATAGCCGCTACTAAGAAAGCGGTGGCAGTAGGACCCTGTCTGCAACACCTTGGACTGTAATTTAAGACGCGATTCGCCAGCAGACCCTTTCGCCACAATTTGCTCTCTCTCGACGGAGCCGTTAAAACCGCATTAATGTCCTGAGATTTTTATTTTAGATAAAATTTGACCCCAGCACAGCTCCCAACTGTTCTCCATAACCAGAACCTCCTTCTTGCTAATTAAATTTTCTCCTAAAAATTTAGCCTCGATCTGAAGTAACATACGAGGTACAAATATAATAAATATAATTTAATCCAATTTCGAATAAAACCATTTTTTTTCTTTATCTTTCTTAACAAGTTGATATGGCAATTTGTTTTTAATTCCTGCTTCAAGATTATTGACTATTAATTTTTACATAATATGTTAAATCCAAAAAGCTATATATTCTGAGACAATTTCAACAAGGATGTAAACACAGAAAGTTCGTGTACTTATTATTTCCCAAGGCCTTCTGCTTGGCCAGAGTTAAATTTCCGGTTGTAAATAGTACCTGCAACAGATTAAAGAAATCTATATTAAATTGATGCATGTTTCACGTCAAACGAGACACCGTCATTAATCACTAAGTCAGAGGGACTGAAGTGCATGACAGAGAACACACTCCAGACCGCGTTTCATATTCTAATATTTCCGAGTGCTGCTCTCGGGGAACATAATTTGATAATAGCTCCACTCGAGAGCAAACAGATCGTAATCAGAAAATATCAAACACTCTCTCGCCGGAGCGACTACATAGCAGAGCCACATTCATATTTCTCAATGAATTCCGACTCTATTTGTGTGCTGCTAGAGACAATATTTACCCAAGCAGCGCAGGTCTGAATGATTTATGACTCATTTTATTTACGTTAAGAGCTGGATGCTGGGGCTGATGAAGCTGCTTTTTGATCTCTCTCGTCTGCAACTCACTTCCCCGCGGGGCACACAAAATCAAAAGAATATATCAAGTGGCAGCTGACCAATTTGAAAAATCCGGGCAGCCATAAATACATCAGAACGCAATCGACGGGATTGTTACGTCCCAGAGGCATTTCCGCGCGCTCTCGAAATGAGATCTTGGGGTGAACGCAGAGACAGCCAGGGGGGGGGGGGGTTGAGAGTCGCCTTCTTTCTGGAGGTTTATTTTTAACGGAGCCGGTCGTGGGTGCACGGAGTAATAATGGACCTGAGCTATGCGGGTTGCATTGTTCCTGCTTGCAGGAGTTATTTCTTGGCAGCGTGCCGAGGCGCGGCGCAGCCTGCAAAAGTGTAGCACAATATGTTGTTCGGGGCGATCGAGGGGGCGCTGCATTTAATATAGCATTGTGCTGCACAAAAGAGCGAGAGAACGGCCCAAAGTAAAGTGGCTCGTGTAAAACAATGCACGGCATCTCCAAAAAAATACTCCACTCGCCCCATTGAGGCGTTTTCTTTCTTTTGGGCAGAAAAGCGGCGCTGGCTGCCGAGCAAAGAGCTAGCGCAGGGTGCTCCACGCGATGAGAGATCGCTTTTATTCCCATTCAGGCCTGCGAGTTTCGCCGTTGAAAGCGCCTACCTTGTGCGTATCAGGTTACTTGCGTTCATCGCAAAACAATTTCGTTATAACTTCTGACGAAAAATTGTCGCTGGCCGCGGGGAGAATAAGTATGGACAAGGAAAAGGTCAAATGACTAACAATGAGAGCTTTTCTCCAGTAAGGTCAGCGCCGATCGCCGATTTATCATAAATTTAATGCCCTTCAGTCAGTGAGACAATTGGCACATTTTCATTTCATCTTTTAATTTATAATTTATTATTCGGGATCTGCGACATTTAATAATATTGTAAAATTAAACAAATTGTAGTATGTATTAATTAAAATTTTTATCTTCCTGAGAACAATGGGTCATAACTTTTTTTATATAAATACTAATTACAACGATTAAAATTATTTTGTTTATATATTTAGATGCAATATAAATTTGTTCAAAAATATTGAGACTTAAAAAAAAATATTTAAAGTTAAATATTGCTTCAAAATAACAAGATCAAAATTAAAAAAAAAATATATATATATATGATTATAATCCTTAACAAGTTTATAAAAAAAATAAAGTATTAATACATTTATAATTTATATGTTTAACAAAATTAATGACCATTTGGTCGAAAATTTTAGTCTCAAAATTAATCAAATTTTAGTCAATCATATTTTCTTATGCTTAAATATAAGTTTCATATTTTCTTAAATCGATTGCTAAGAATAAAGTTTTGTTAGACAAATAATGCATTTTTAAAATTTATTGTTTTATATGTAGATATTTTCCTGTCAGTTTTCATACTTTTCTTCAGGTCTTTTGAGTATATTTTTCAACATTAAAACTGATTGCACTAATTTAATTAATAAATAAATAAATTTTTCCCTGCTCCCATTAAAACAAAAAAAATCACGGCACTTCCCATTTTTTGCACCCCGTCTCTGTCAGCAGTTACTATCAGGCTGTTCTCCTTTCTCGCCAGCATTCCGCGCACTTGGGCGCTTTCTGTTTATTGTTAATGAGCAGAAAAAGATTCATTCAAATACAGGGGAGGGGCGAGGGGAAAATTGCAATCGCGTCAAGTCAGCTGGCGCAATCACGAGACGCGATCAAAAAGTCCGAACGTAATGTTTGCAATTTGCCCTGGCGCGCGCTCGCTCGCAGTGGGCACGGCCTGGCGTAATTGGGAATTGATGTAGTGGAAGGCGGTGATAGCGTCCGGGCATTAGCAGGCAGATAAGCCGGCGTTCGCCGATCTCGCAGCGCGGCAGCCGCGCGTTGCACCATCGCGGATTACGTACAAGTGTTTAATCAGATTATACGAATATTTACATCTGTTGTTTGCTCTTAATGCAGCAGCCAGCCAACATCCTCGGCAGCCACACTTTTATTACTGCTCTCCGAGCGTTATTCCCGGATGAGCTCCCTCACCTATACACCCAGCGAGAGATGCTGCACGATGACTATTTACGAGCGAACGTGCCAGTCAAAGGGGAACAATAAGCAGAATAATCAACTCGCAAGCTGCTGGAGAATGTTACAACCCTCGTCTGCACCAGTCGGCTCTTTTGCACACATCCACATATGTACATTAGAGAGATGAACTCCGCCGCGCTGCATTTTGATTATGGTCAACGTGCCGGAAAATTGCTCGCCGACGCCTTTGTTTTCGAACGGCGCGCGAGTTGCTCTCTTCGTCCAAGGCTTGAGTTTTAATAAACGTAAAAACTAATGGTTTTACTCCTGCCATCAAAATAGAACAGCTTCTTGAAGGAGAAAAAAAACACGGGGATGACGCAAATGCCACATTCCTGTCAGATTTGCACTTATTTAAAAATTCAAGAGAGGATTCGATAGTGAACGAGTTACACTTCCCTGCCAAAAGTTTTTGACACTTTTTGCAATGAAATGACAGGCAAACTTTTAAACCATCTCAAATTCCAGCGAAAATTCCTTCGTCGTCATGAATAAATGAAGTTCAATTACGCGACCAACAAAAAACAAAAGTGAGTGTATAGAATTTATTCATCAAGTGGCAGTAAAATTTTCGCGAGTGCGGGTTTGGGAGTGTGGTTTTTGAAGCAGCTCAAAAACCACAACACTGAATCAACTTTGAAACAAGTAGGAGAGAGAGAGTCCCGGCTGTCAACTCACGAGTATGAAAGAGGCGAAACTTTTCAATTTCTTGAGCGGAGCTTGCTGGTCGGATCATTGCCGGCGATTTCGGCTTGATTAATTATTCAGCCAACTTTGGAATAAAACTCTCCGCAGACGGAGAAAGAAAAATGAGAGCGAAAATTTTCGACCGCACACTACTTTCTGCTTGAAACGAAGCGAGCAGCGGCTTTCATCATCAATTTAGCGCCGAGGAAAAATAGGTATTACTCCGGTGCTCACACTTAATGGAGCACCCTCTAGATGATTATCATTCAGCAGCCATGTTTGCGAGAAGGAAAGCTGCTTTTAGTCTTTTCTTGCATCTCACGCACATAATTCTTGGTTGCTACAGCAGCAGGTCGTTAATGAGCTGCAAACCTTTTGAGCGATGGGTCTCAAGAGCCGCACTTTAAATTAAATTTTTCCATGGTGAGTGATGAGAGAGCCTTTTAATACGCACTGCGAATGCAATCGAATCAGTAAAAAAGAGGAAAACTGCTCGTCGGCACGGAAGTTCAGGCATTATTCGTAACCTTTGTCTTTGATTGAAAAGCATAAGTTGAGAGAAAAGCCTCCTCCGTGGAGCCATTAAGAAAAAGCCGTATTATTGTCGCAAGATTTTATCAATGAAAGCCTGCACATACATTCAGAGGGGTCTATCAGACTTTATTTTCAACTAGCACGGCCGCCACGATCTGATCCTCCCAGCAAACTCTTTCTTTCTCGAGGAGGCAGTTGAGGGTTATCGGCCTCTCGCAGCCAGAAGAAACGTCGCCACGTCACGTCTTATATTCCAACAACTTCCGGTGCAAATCTAACTTGGTGTACCACAGTGAGCTCTGCCTCACCACCACTTCCGGTGCTTTTGAAATATCAAAGGAGAAAGCATTTTTTTTCTGTGCTACATAATTTAAAAAAAAAAAAAAAATTGAATGTCAATTTATATTTGTATTTTTATTTCAGTTTAAAAAATTATAACATTCATTATTTTGATAACAAAATATTTTTCAAGTATTTTTCTATTATTTAAAATTTAAATTTCAAATGCATTAAATTTAATAACGTTTTTTTCGTATTATACAAAATGTAAAAATGTATTACAGATCAAGCAGCAATATGCAAATTAATTGATACACAGTTATTAGAAGTCTGATGAATTCATGATAGAGGATAAATTTTCTAGATAAAGAACTTCAACATAATAGAAGATATTAATGTAAAAAAAAAAATTAAAAATAATGCACCCTGCAAATTGGGACAGAACAACACAGCTGTTGCGCAGGTTGCATAAGTTACTTGTTTCTTGCTGCCTCTGTTTTCACAGCTGCTTGCATTGCTACACTAAATGAGCAGCGTCTGTTTGCTCAAAGCAACATGAAAAACGAGCCTTAGCAGGCCTAATCCGATTTTGATTAGCTGAGAAAAATGTTTGTCTTTCGTAGCAGCCGCACCGAAAGTGTGTGTGTGCACGTGGCGCTCTCTCACTGTGCGTAAAAATTCATTTTTCTTACTTTGAAAAGTCAAAGTGCGCTCGAAAAGCGGGTGCGAGGGCGCCCGTTTGTTTTCAAAGAGTCGCGCCTTTGTGTTTATTTTTCATGCTAAAAGCATTTTCCTTTCCATTTCCAGCAGCACTTGCATATACACATACTTATAAAACACACACACGGCCGAGCCGAAATTTCCACACTAGCTGCAGAAAAGAGAAAGAGCGCTAAAAAAAATGGAAAGCAGCGACGAGCGTATAAAAATATTTGCAACCCCGTGTCACACGTCATCAATTTCAATAAAACTTTGCCCTGCATTGACAGGCCCATGACACGCGTAGAAATATCATCGC